GGCTCATGTGTTTGAACACATGGTCCCCAGATGGGAGAGGGTTTTGAAACTGGACCTAGCAGAAGGAAGGCCTTGGTGTTTCTTTTCTTAGCCTAGCTCCAGTTTATGTCTGTCATCTATTTCCTAACCAGGGACACAGTGTAACCAACTCTTTCTCTTCTGCCACCATGCTTTCCCTGTCATGATGCTGTAACCCATCAAACTATGAACCAAAATAATCCCTTCCTCCCTCAAATTGCTTCTCAACAGTTGCTTGTTGATCACAACAAGAAGGAAAGTAACTAATAGGATGCAAGTCAGCTTTCTGTAACTACACCAAATACCTGGGGTGAAGCAGTTTAGAAGGAAGAAGGTTTAATCGGGCTCTTAGTGGCAGAGGTTTCAATATATTGTCCATTGACCCTACCACTTTGGACCTGAAGTAACACAGCAAATCATGATGGGTCACATGGTAAAGAAAGTCTTCATTCTGTGGTTCAAGAAGTCCATGTGAAGGCTATAGAAAAATGAAAACACCCAGCATTTCTTCCAAGACACCCCACACACACCAGTGACTTAACTTGCTCCTAAAGGTCCCTTCTCACAACAGTGCTGCAGGCTAGGAACCAAGATATGTATGTATGTATGTATGAATGTATGTATGTATATTTGTATGTGTGTATGTATATATGTACGTATGTGTGTATGTATGTATGTATGTATATTTGTATGTATGTATGTATGCATATTTGTATGTATGTATGTATATTTGTGTGTGTATGTATATATGTATGTATGTATGTGTATGTATGTATGTATATATGTATGTATGTATGTATGTATGTATGTATGTATATTTGTATGTGTGTGTATGTATATATGTATGTATTTTACACCCTGGCTACAGTTTCCCCTCCTTCCTCTCCTCCCAGCCCCTCCCCACCAACCCTTTGTCCCAACCCCCAAACCCACTTCTCCTCCATTTTTGTTTAGGAAAGGGCAGGTTTCCCATGAGTATCAACAAAACATGGCCTATCAAGTTGCAGTAAGACTATAGGCACCTCCTCAGGTATTAAGGCTAGGCAAGACAACCCAGTATGAGGAGCAGGATCCCAAAAGCCAGTAAAAGAGTTGGAGCCCTACAAGAGGACCAAGATACACAACTATAACATCTATACAGAGTGCCTAAGTCAGTTCCAAGCCAGTTCCTTGGCTGTTGGTTCAGTCTCTGTGAACACCAATGAATCTAGGTTAGTTGATTCTGTGAGTTCTTTTATGGTGTCCTTGACCCCGCTGGGTCCTACAATCCTTTCTCATCTTCTGAAGGATTTCCCAAACCTAATGTCTGGCTGTGGGTCTGCATCTGTTTCCATCACTTTCTGGATAAAGCCTCTCTGATGACATTGGGCTAGGCACCAACCTGGCGACCAAACTTTCTAATAACACAGGCATTTAGAGTGTATTCTACATACAAACTCGCAGAGCTCCAAGGAAATTTGCTAAGAACTGTGTTAAAACAGCTCAGCATAGAACCCTACCCATGGTCTAACCTTGGTATATAGTAGTGATGCAGCTCTTTGAGAATAAAGGAGGCTCTCTTGGTTTAGACAGGCTTGACCCAGGAACCAGGCTGCTGGACCATTAGTAATCATCAAATGTCAGTCTGAGACAGTGGCTCTCCAGTTCTTTATTTCATGTCAATGAGGAATAAAGATGTGGACAAAGAAGGAATCAACAAAGCAAAGTAGATTTATTAAGGAAAAGTGAGAATTAAGAAAGATGCTCAAAGAAGAGAAGGCATCTGGAGAGAAGACCACAGGGCTATGCTGTAGGTGCTTCTAACAGCAATGGACAGAGAATGGGCTGATTTCCACGGAGACTGGTCAGTTCTCCAGGCATATCATAGTCTTAGACAATAAGGGCCCCAATGCTCTGTGCATGTCCCACTAGCCCAAGAAGGCTAGTGCTGCTTATTTAGTTACAGCAGTGGTCCCGAGTTCAAGCTCCCCTTTGCTCATCTCTTCCTTGTTCTGTTAACCACTGACCTTGGCTCATCTGCTAGCTACTAGCCCTGACCAACACTGCTAGTCACTGAGCTTACAAATATTGCTAGTCTCAGACTTGGTTCCAGCTATTAAATAAATGATGCTTGCTTTGTTTTCATGCTTATGTGATCATCTTGTAGTTGCCAGGATCCAGGCATTATGCTGGCCTGTCCCCTGTCACCTGGCAGGAGGCACTCAGGCAGTACCCGGTCAGCCCAGGGGCCCAAGGCTGCTACTTCACTAAACTATATAGTCTGCATGCAGGTGTAAAGGTTTATTTAAGAGGCAAACTCTAGGGCCTGGAGAGATGACTCAGAGGTTAAGAGCACTGTCTGGTCTTCCTAGAGGTCCTGAGTTCAATTCTCAGCAACAATGGCTCACAACCATCTGTCAAGATCTGGTGCCCTCTTCTGTCCTGCAGGCATACTTGCAGACAGAAGACTGTATACGTAATAAATAAATATCCTTAAAAATGTTTTTTTAAAAAAGAAGCAAACTCTACCCATCCCCCCTTTCTTTCTGCTATCTCTCTGAGAAGGCAGACAGATCTCTGTTCTGTCTCTCCCCTCTCCCCCCCTTATCTCTCTGTCTCTCTGTCTCTCTGTCTCTCTGTCTCTCTCTCTCTCTCTCTCTCTGTCTCTCTGTCTCTCTGTCTCTCTGTCTCTCTGTCTCTCTGTCTCTCTGTCTCTCTGTCTCTCTGTCTCTCTGTCTCTCTGTCTCTCTGTCTCTCTGTCTCTCTGTCTCTCTGTCTCTCTGTCTCTCTGTCTCTCTGTCTCTCTCTCTCTCTCTCTCTCTCTCTCTCTCTCTCTCTCTTCTCTCCCCCACTCCCTTCCCTTTTAAGAAAACTTCCTTCCCATTGTCCATGAAAGCTCTCCTAATGGCATGTTTGTCATGCTCCTCCACCCCATGTCCCCCTCAGAGGAACTGTTCCTAGCTAAGAGTTTTGAGAAAAGACTGTGTCAATCAGATTTGAAACATTTGGATTTTGAAATCTTTCAATCGAATTTCAGGAAAAACAAAAGAATTGAAACTTTGGAAATGGCCCTAATTTCCAAGAAAAGAAAAAAGTTGAAGAAATGAGTGAAAGAGTCCCAAAGAGAAGAGAAGCATCAAGGAGAACATCTCCCACAGCCTGCTCCCACCATCAGCCTCAAACCTCTGCCCATACGGCTGCATATCTTCCAGTGCTCACAATGCTTAGCTGGGGACCCAGAGCCTCTGCTGCTACCACTGTTTCTCTAACAGTACCAGAAGCCTACTTCTGGGCTCCCTCCACCCACTAGGTTGTGTTGTCCCTGCTCTGGGGCCATATCTTTAGAAGGTTAAATGGAGAAGCCTCTGATAAGGAGAGCTTTGAAACGATTCCCTTTGGTCTGTGTGGTAGGAAAGCCCACCTTCCAAAAGCTTAAAAACTGTGTCAAGGACTACATGAAATTCAAGTGATGTCACAGTTCTCCATCCACCAAGCTAGCTGTAGTGGCTCGCTCCTTTAATCTCAATGTTTGGGAGGTTGAAACAGAAAAAGTCCAGAGTAGCTTGGGCTATCCAGCAAGTTCCAGACCAGCCTGGACTAGACGAAAAGTTCCCCACTGAAGATTCAGATCTCTACAGAAGAAATAAAACCGATTCCCTGTAGGTAATATCAGCTTTGGCATGGGGGTGGGAATGCAGAGGAGCCAGCAGGGAGGACCGTCTGTACCCAGGTCCACAGCATGATCTGACCTCAGCTGTGTGGCAAAAAGAAGAATCTGTAGGCAGAGGGCTTTCAGGTGTCTGAGGATGGGGTGGTCATGCCAGCACCCGCTCAGAGCAGTTGCTACACTGCCTCTCTAGTTATCTTTCCAATGCAGCCCCAAAAAAGCCTCTGAACTTCCAACATCTTTGCTTTTTCTACTGAAATGAAAACATTCAAATGTGGCCTTCAAAGCCCTACCCAGTCTAGCCTCCAGGCTTTAGCCCCAGCAGATTCCCAGAGTTCCATGAACAGAACACAGCCAGACTGGAGTTCCTTTTCCTTTCAACCTCAGAGGCTCCTTCTGTGGCAATCCCCAGCAGAAATGGCTTCTCTGGCTTACCAAGGACTTTGATGCTGTTACCTAATACAAGGTTTGTTTTTCAGATCAAAACTCTTTCTGGTTTAGAGATGTGGGGTCAGATGGCCTTAAGCACTTTAGGATTCCATCAGCCTTAGTCGGCAGCGTTCAAAAATCAGAACTAGGAAGCCAGAAAGACACTCGATGCCTTGAGTGACCGTGCCAGGTTACCACACAGGGGTACATTGGAGCTGCCTGAATCCCAGGCTCACCCTTGAGCTGAGAGTGTATGGGAAGATGCTGACCGTGCAACCTGGGAGAAGGTGGTGATTCATAACTGGACCTGAACGTTGTGACTGAACTGGGAATATTTCCTCACTTTCAAACCCTCCATCTGATACTAACAAAGATTACTTAAACCTTGGAATTCCAAGCATATTTCGTGTCAGAGAAAGGAAATGCCAACCTCTCAGAAGAAAAGTCTCCTTTCTTCTTTCTTCCTTCTTTCATTCCTTTTCTTTCAAAATAGAGACTCCTCAAGGAGAAATGAAAAGAGAATAGGAGGGTGAAGCAGGGGCCTTCGTGTAATATGTCTAAAATAGTCAGAGATCAGGAAAAACAAGAAAAAAAGCAGATCAAGTGTGTGTTATTAGTCTACGGTAACTCATGTAGCTTCGAGAGAATTATGGGTGTTGTTTTGTTTTTGTTTTCTCAAATGCAGTCTTTTCTCACCCCCCCATGTTCTCTAGCAAACAGACATTTCATTAAAGTCTTCTGCCCTGAGGCACAGGACCCTCTGAATATCTCCTCTCTAAAAACACAACAGTTAAAGCTGGAACCTTAACCAGAGTATAGGACACAGGCACTGCAGGACTGGCCTATTTTCCAAAAAAAACATGGTGAGTGGACTTAAATTCTTATTTTCTCTTTCTTTTCTTTCTAGAAACGGGGAAAATTGACCAAGAAATTCACAAATACAACACCCCAGGCTTCACAGGCTGCCTGTCCAGAGTCCAGTTCAACCACATTGCCCCACTGAAGGCAGCCTTGAGACCGACGAACGCCTCGGCCCACGTGCACATTCAGGGAGAGTTGGTGGAGTCCAATTGTGGGGCCTCCCCCCTGACTCTTTCCCCCATGTCTTCGGCCACTGACCCTTGGCACCTAGATCACTTGGATTCAGGTAAAATCTGGATCTGTCTTGGGCTGATTGCTTCATTGCTTTCAACCTCACTTTCCTCAGCTGTAGAATGGGTTGATCGTGTACCCTGACTGACCCTGTCAGTAGGGGACAAAGATACAGCAGGAAGGAAATGGTGAACCATGAGTTCTCAGTGTAGTGCTTGGCACCTATCAAGGGCAAAAGAGTTATTCTACTCAAAAGCAGAAACAGAGCAAGCACAGGTTAAGAGTGTAGGTCTGAGGACTCTTCATGCAGGTAAAGAGACAACAAAACTGCTGTCTGCCACATGGCTATGGATGACTTGGCCAAACACTTCCTCACCTTTGCCCACTTTCCCTCCAAAACAGTACAGAGACTCACTTCCTATCATGACCACAGATTGCTAAAGCTGAAAGAGCTACATTTAAGCTTGCAAAGCCTAGTCTATGGCCACACCATGCTGAACACTCCTGATCTCATCTAAACTCAGATGGCCCTGTGATTTTGGCCACATTTCTGCAATGGTAAGACATGCAATTTGAAAACACCAGGCTCAAATGAAAGGAAGTAGTGTTGGTAGTGAAGTTAATTGGATGAAAACATGTCTCTGATGGAAGCCTATTGAACTACAATTCTCCTCTCAGACCTACCTGGGCTGACTGTGGGCAGCACAGATAACCCATCTATGCCACTGCCTTTTCACCCATACAGTAGAGATGGAGAAGTGGCATGTAAATTTCTCAGTGACCTGATCGGGTACTCAATGGGTCTCCAAGCAACTCTAACCAACCAGGAATGTTAGTGACCCTTAAATCAGTAAGAGTTCACAAGACAGGGCAACATGGGAGTGAATCCCAAATTCCAACACTATCTCTGCTTCTTACCATTAGATTAAACTCAAGCAGCTGCCATAACTTCACTCCTCGGTTTCTCAGTTCCTGAAATAGGGACACTAAGTCAGGAATTCTACATGAGATGATGTGCTCAGTGGTTAAGAGCACTTGCTGCTCTTGCAGAGAGGTGGTATGCAGTGCCCAGCACCCAATGCTGTCTCACAACCATCTATAAGTCCAGTCCTACGGCATCTGAAACCTTCTGGCCTCTAGGGCACTGCATCCATGTGATATATATGTGTACTTACGGCAAATACTCACACACATAAAATAAAAAAAATATATTTAAAAATGGTAACTTAACACAACCATGGATTCATGACAAGCTTGTAAATATTCAGCTGTCACAATGTTAATAGTCATTGTGGCTATTTTGTTAGACCACTAGCTATAGCTTGAGAATGCCCATTAAAAGCTTCCAAATCCCACCCCTACACACACACACAGACACACACACACACACACACACACACACACAGAGAGAGAGAGAGAGAGAGAGAGAGAGAGAGAGACCAGTTCATAACATCTCATACAGTAGTACACATTTAATTGCTTTAATCACCTTGCAGTCTTGTGCCAGTGTTTAGCTTCACAGTAGCTATCACTGTGGTGATTCTTACTAGGACTGTCCCTGGAAGATTTGTAAAGCCATAATTGTTCCACTGTCAGGATAGCCAATTGACAGACTACGAAGCCCTCTTTGTCTCTTACTTATGGATGATGAGAGCACAGTGTGCCAAGGGCAGGCGCAGCAACTCCCTTTCATGAGCGCTGCTAAAGGCACTCAGCAAGTTGAGCTTTCCTCCTGGGCTGGTTTGAATAAAGAAAGCATTCCTGCTGCAGCAGGAAGAAAGGGAAGATGGAAAATGTGAGCGGAGAAAAGGCACTTGTCAGGGCCACAGAGAGTGGGAGTCCTTGGGTGAATTCCTGCACATTCGAGGGTGGACAGCTGGTGAACTGCCTTAAATGCACCGGTTCTGGGGTGCTGCAGGGGGGTGCTGCAGGTAGAAACTGCAAGCAGAGGCTCTGGGTAGCTATGAGCATGTGTGGTCTACTGCCAAGACACTGGCTTCGAAAACTATCTAAATGCTTCCTTGGGCCAAGATGAGCTCATAATCATTATGGCTTAATTAGCCAATTGTTTGCTTTTAAGGTCTGTGAAATGCAGCTGTAGAGACCAAACTATTTTAGTTCATGATTTTAAAAACAAAGGCTTTATTCATGACAGCTTCCTTCTTATGACTGATTCATGCCAATGCATACAGTTTAGAAAACATTTCTGTTGGTATTCAACACTCAAATTAAATTCTGTATTCCAACTCAGCACAAACCTGTAATTGTAGCACTTAGGCAAGAGGGTTCCAAGTTCAAGGTCAGCCTGGGTTACATAGTAGGACCCTGTCAGAAAGGAAAAATGAAAGGATGGATGGAGAGGAAGGAAGGAGGGAGGGAGGAAGGAAAAGAAAGTGAGCCAATTGGGATTTAGATCCAATCACGAACCATTTCTATAATTGGGGAAATACCTTTTGCTGTTAAATGACAGTCTTGTGAACTCTATTAGAAGGAAGAGTGGAATACTTCCTTCAAATTGTGAAACAGAAGGCTTATTTAGGTAATATGATTTTATTCTTTTAGGTAAAAGGGAGCAGGAGAGGGGAATACAGGGTAAAAGAGAAGGAACAAAGAGAAGTCAAGGTGGGCGATTACTTCATAGCGGCCTCCAACGAGACAACATAAGGAGGAAAAACATTTCCCCTACCCTCTTAAATTCAATGCTAAGAGGCCTAGAAATTAAAATGACAAAAGATAGAGCAGCAGGAGAAAAAGAAAAAGAAAAAACAGTTTCTTTCCAAAAAAACAAAAAGGAGCTTTCAAAAGATGTAACTTGAAAAATTGTCAAAAATCAAAGACCTCTAGACCATGTACAAAGGGAGATAAAACAATAAGTTTCAATGGCCTATTAATAGGACTTCTAGAACAGATTAGAGATGAGAATGTTTATGATAATGCTTTTCATGAAGGCCTGAGGGGTCTTGGTCTCTCTTTCAGAGAGGGAGTTCTGATAGGGTTACTCTCCTGGGAGGAAAAGATATCCCAAAGAGAGAAGTATGGCTGCCTTGTCCTCCAGAATTCCCCACCTTTTCTCAGGAATAGAAGTAGAAGCTCCAGTTAGGTTTCTTTCTGAATCTACTGCACTCCAAATGTCTTCTATTTAAAAATGATTTGTGAAACTCAAATGATGGCTCATTTAATAAAATGCTCACCGTGAAAGCATGAGGACCTAAGCACCCCCAGCATCCACTCGCCACCCCCCAAAACACCAGACATGGCCGTATGCATGTATAATGTCAGGTGTGAGGGGTGAAAGCAGGGCGAGCTCTGGGGCTCACTGGCCAGTCTAGCAGAATCAGTGAGCTCCAGGATCAGTGAGAGATCCAGTCTCAGGAATTAAGATGGAGAATAACTAAGGAAGACATCTGATGTCGGCCTCTGAACCCAGACAGAGAGAGAGGGGGAGGGGGAGAAAGGGGATAAAAACACACAGAGATAGAGAGATTTTAATTTAATTTACAAGTTTGATACTAACCTGGAATTCCAAATGGATCCTCCTCACACCAGCAACTGCACCCTTGTTTCTGCGAGCCTACATTCATCATTCTGAGTTCAGAGTCAAGGGTGTTGAACTGTCTAGATCATCCCCAGGCTTGAATAGAGGGATCATTCAAAAAGAAAACCACAGCATGAACACAAAAGTAATATTTTCTTCTCAGAATACGGTGAGGGTAGGACTGGCATTTGGGACAGAAAGAGAATAAAGGTGAACACTAGCCATCCTGAGACATCTTAACTAATACGTGTTTCATGGCACAGCTTTGAAGTATGCCCTCCACCTGATAGCCTCGGGTCACCTGGAAGCTTGTTAGGGAGAAGGAATCCTACCAGAAGCAACCAAATCAGCACCTCCATTTCAGCCAGGACTCCTAGGTGGCTTGCCATATGTACAAGAAAGTCTGGAAACCCTCATCTGGTATTGCTCTCCACCTCGGGGGCACTTCAGAATTACTGGGGTGTCAATGTGGATCCCGGACCTCTGAGTAATTAAGGCAAATGAGGAGAGCATGCTGCTGTGTGTAGGTAAAACCTCCTCAAGTGACTCCAATATGGAGCAGGGTTGAGAATCACTCACCAGATTGGAGGGGTTCCTTGACAAGCACTTGAAAGTAGGCTATGGAGAGAAACAAGACAGGACGGGGTTCTCCTTTAGCGGCAGAACACAGGCCTGGTATGTGCAATGCCCAGATTTGATCTCCAGCCCCAGAAATAAATAAATAAATAAACAAATAAATAAATAAATAAAATAGCTAATCTTCTTTGTCAACTTGACTAGATTTAGAATCACCAAGGAGACACACCTCTGGGTTTGTCTGAGGGCATTTCCAATGAGGAATGAATGGAGGGGGGAATACCATCTTGAATGTAGACAGTACCATTCTGTGGACTGGGGTCTTGGACTAACAGAAGAGGAGGAGGAGACCTGGGCACCACCACTCACCTGCTTCCTGAATGCAGATGGAGTGTGACCAGTCCCTCATGCTTCATCTCTGATCCTTCAAGTTTTTCCATCCTTAAGTTGCTTTTGTCAGGCATTTTGCCTCACCAATGTCAAAGTCATTGTTAATCAGCCTTTGGAACTGTTTTTAGTATAGCCGTTATCAGGTAGAAAAAACAGCCCCAGTCTGTCTTATTTTAAGGGTCACAGAGTACAGTTACTGTGAATCACCTCTCAGAATTGTTGGGTCTAGTGTTTTTTTTCTCTGTCACATTCAGAATCTTACTTCCTTGGAATGGGAAAGACTTGCCAGCAAGAGATGGCTACAGATGGCGCCCACAATCTGTAAAACACAAAAGCAAAACAAACAGCAGAAAGTATGAGTCCAAAAGTCAGCTACCACCCGTTTCTGTGCGTGACAAGCTGTGTGTGTGTGTGCACTCCCATAAAGCCTTTGGGAGTCTGGTCCCGTTCACGGTATTTGACACACAATGAACTGGACCAAACAGATAAGTGTCATTCCTACAGGTCTTCTGGTTAGAAGGATGATGGCTTCTTGCTGTTTCACGGGACTTGAG